CCTGAGGCGATCGGCAAATGGCTGTGCGCAGGTTTGGGCGGGGCGGGCTCAACAGGGCAGGGGAGGGAGCAGCTATGCGCTCTCAGTCCGTCCCAGGGGCTCTGCCTCTCTGTCCCAGCAATCGCTGCAAACCTCGGAGGGGCCGTAGCCAGACAGTCCCGCTTCTCCCGTTTGAGTCTGGGTCCCTAGAGACTCGCCCGGATCTGTAGCCCAGAGTCTGAGACTCGCTCCTGATTGAAAACGACAATCGCGCCCTCAGCCGCCAGCCCGCTTTGCGCGGGCACCCTCACCACCGCACCGCCGTACCTTTAAATTTTCCACACTGCGCCTCCGCTGAGCGTCGGAATGCTGTTGTTTTTGCTTCTAGTTGAAGAGACTCTCCTCAGCCAGCCTTCCCGTGGTTCTGGTTGATGTCCGCTCCGACTTTTAGTTGTATTTTTGAAGTGGTTGTCCACGGCGACAGTCTCCAGTGTTTACCTATGCCGCCATCTTCCTCAAGCTTTATTTTTTAAAATATGTCAGTTTTATCATTTTAAATATGTCTGGTTTATAGTTTGCATCTGATAATTCCAATATCCAAAGTCTAGGGTATGTTTCTGATATCTGTTTTTTGCAACTGGCCCTCAGTCATGTGCCTCACTCTCCCCCCACCTCCACCATTTTTAATATTTTGCCTTGAATGACTCACTTAGAAGAAAGGCTCTGTAGAAAATCTCTGAAGCTGTTGCTGAGGTTGCACTCCTCCAGAAAAGGGTTATGTTTGCTTCTGCCATTTCCCTGGAGACACTATCAACTGAGAACCATTCTAAATTTAATTATATGTTTGAGGTTTTTTTAACCACACACGTTACATAAATCTGGACCACAACTCTAAGAGAGCCAGCTTGTCATTATGAGTTCTCATGGGAGGTTTTTTTATTCCCTTCCATCTGGCGTCAAGGTTAAAACAGTCCAGTCTCCATGCTGTGCTCTGCAGCACCTATCAGGTTTATTTCTTGCTCATGCTTACCCCAGCAGAAGGGTCACCTAACATAAACTTCCCTTTGGGCATGTCCTAGCCCTTGCCTGTCTGCTAAGCCCCTGCAACTATCAAAGAGGAAGTTTAGAGTCTTCACGCTTGAGCAGAAACCCCCTGTGCAGAAGCCAGCTTTGTCATTCAATTACCTCACAAGATTTCTGCTTTTTTTTCTTCCTTTCTTTTTTCTTTTGACCTCTGAAGATTCATTTTATGGAAGCTCAATGATATAATTTTTAAATGTTGGTGTTTTTCAACTGGAAAAGTATTCAGAATATCTAATCTGCTATATGAACAGAAACAGCTATCTCACCCTATGGAGAGTGGGTCACCAGGGGGTAAGTGTCCTTTGATTCTGGGTCCATAAGTGTCCAGTGCCAGAACAAGCAGGCCAGTATTTCTGGGGCCAGCTTGGGCTTTGCAAAGTCCTGCGAGAGCTACCTGCTAAGGGGTCAGGCTTAGGAGGGTTTCAGGCCCAGGGTTGCATAAGATGTTAGCATTACCTTTCTCTAAACAACCACTGCCATGAGAAAGTATCTCCATATAGACGTGAACTAATTAATAAATGAAATGAAAAAGAAATGATAGTTTCAGAATATCACCATTTCTCAAAGCCTAATGAATTGGTGGATCTAAACCTTGAGATCAATAGCTGCTAACATGGGCTCTGAGATTATGAGATAAAAGAAGCCTCATCACCTAGCATCTCGCCAAAGGTTTCGAACCCAAGTGTGATCCAGCCTCTGGATCCAGCTTCCAATCTACAGGGAATATGGAGGAACACAGAGGTGACAGCACAGGCAATCACAAGATCCAGACTACAGGACAAGTGGTCCAGGTTCTGCAACCAATCAATGTTAAGGGAAAGAAAGGGATGGCAGGGAAACCAGTAGATTAAAAATGACTTGAGGGACATATCAAATCATTTTTACAAGGGAGGACACTTAACTAGAAGATCTAGACTTGCACACTTGAATGATCAACTAGAAAGAAATGAAAGAAACACAAGGAAATAATTGTTATAAAAGAATAGTGGTTACTTTTGGGGCGGGAACCAGCTGTGTTTGGATATTCACACAGGGTGGATACTCATCTTGGAATAATTCACAAAGCTATACTTTTGCTTTGCATAATTTTCTTATCTGGTTGAATTTTATGATAAAAGTTAAAAAAAGGTGGGGACAGTTATTCATATCTCAAAATATCATCTCACTGCATCGTCTTTATTGGTCCAATCCCACATGAAACATTTGACAGATTTCAGGATTTAGTCTCTAAAAAACCCAAGCAAAACTCATAGCCCTCTTTTTCAAGCATAAAGGAAGAGATATACATAGGTATATCCATATATATATGGGTGTCCATATATATATATATGTATATTCACATAGAGTTAGAGTGACAGTAAGTAAATTTGGTTTATTAACCATGAACCTCAAATAATACCAGAATACAGAACAAAGTGTGTGTGTGTGGGGGGGGGGGGGGGGGACTAAATTTTCTTGGTTATTGTGATTAAATAGTACAATATTTCTCTTAGAAGAGTCACATCGAAGTGTTTTAAGAGTGCACATCATCATGACTGCTGTTTCCATACAATTCATACCCACAAAACATCTATACTAATAAAAGAGAACGATGCAAATTGACAGTCCCTTCGAGACACCCACCAACCAATCAGGAGTGGGTATGCAAATTAACCCAACAAAGATGGGATAATTTGCATACACAGGCGCCGAGCGGCTGGGGGTGGGGTGGGACGCAGGCATTCCGCACCTCCCCAGCCACTCCAGGCCTCTGGGCAGGGTGGGAAAGCGGAAAGGCGGCTCCGGCCAGAGCGAAGGCGGTGCCGGCAGCCAGGGGAAGGAAGACCCATTCTTGCACGAATCTTCGTGCATCGGGCCTCTAGTATATAGATAAAACAGCAAAGATGCCAAATGTTAGTAATTACTGACTTACTAGTAGATATGTGAGTATTCTCTATTATTCTTTTTATGTTTGAAATTTTTAATAAAAATTAAGTTTATCTAATAATACATATTAGGTTAAAACCTCTCTCTGTGTCTCTCACACACACACAATTATATTTCAATGCACACCAAGAGAAAAGCTAACCTTGCAAAGACTAGCACTACCAAGTGTCAGTGAAGATGCGAAGCACTGAGATCTCTCATACATAGCTGGTGGGAGCACAAATCAACAGAATCACTTCAGCATCATCTAGTAAAGCTGAAGGAACATATCCCATGACCCAGCAATTCTAATCCAAAGTATCTACCTTACTTAAATGTTTGTACTTGAGTACAAGGAGACATGGATGAGCATGCCCAGAGCAGATGTATTCCACAAATTAAAATCCCCAAATTAATAATAATTAAATTCCACAATTAAGTGCATTTGTAAAAACATGCTGCTTACTCATACAACAATACAATGAATTAACTACAGCTGTGTGCAACATGAATGCCTCTCAGAAACATTAGTTTGGTAAAAGTAGCCAGAATCATCCCCCTCCCCTGCCCAAAAAAAGAAATACACTGTATGGATCCATTTCCATAAATTTCAAAAACAGATAAAATCAAGTAAGTGTCCATGGATGTATACTTATGTAGTAAAATTTTAAAGAAAAGTAAAAAGTGTGTGTGGTATGTAAGAACATGGGTCCCTTCCCAAGCTCCAGCTCCCCCTCCCACCCTATGGGAATATAATGAAGGCCATCTGAAGGGTACTGTGCGACCCTGAGTGTCTGGCCAGCTCCTTGGTCAAGGAACAGTAAAAAAAAAAAAAAAAAAAAAAAAAAACACACACACACACACACACACACACAAAAAAAACCTGTTCCTGGATGTGAGCCCAGATTGTAAACAGTGGACATTTTCATCTCAAACAGCTTTGTGTGTGAGTACATCACCCTGCTTGCACGATTTATCACCGTTTGTTTTTATACTCTAAATAATCCTGTTTTGCCAGAGCCTGTGTTGTGGAGACTTCACCAGCATGCCTCCCCAATGCTAAGACCTAATAAATTCATGCCTTTCACAGCCAGTCTTCCAGGTTATTTCTTTGGAATCAGCAAGCAATATGTGGAGGCCTTCTCAGACCTCAGCTCTTTCCATAACAAAGTGATTCGCCATAAAAGTGCTGCAGTAATTCCCTTTGAAAAGGGGAACTACAGTTGAGAAGGGATATGCAGGAGGTCTTCAGAGGCTAGCAGTGTTTTATTCCTTAACCTGATAAGGGGTTTACTTTATATAAAAAAATTAAACTGTACCATTATGTTCAATATACTTTTCTAATTGTTGCCTTGGGGGTAGAGTAACTGGCTCAGGGGCACACATGACATAACAGATCAGTCCAGGCCAGATGCATCATCCCATGCTCCTAGAACAGTGGTTCTCAACCTTCCTAATGCCGAGACCTTTTAATACAGTTCCTCATGTTGTGGTGACCTTCAACCATAAAATTATTTTCGTTGCTACTTCATAACTGTAATTTTTCTACTGTTATGAATAGTAATGTAAATATCTGATATGCAGGATGTATTTTCATTGTTACAAATTAAACATAATTAAAGCATAGTGATTAATCACAAAAACAATATGTTGTTTTTTTTAAAATATATTTTATTGATTTTTCACAGAGAGGAAGAGAGAGGGATAGAGAGTTAGAAACATTGATGAGAGAGAAACATAGATCAGCTGCCTCTTGCACACCCCCTACTGGGGATGTGCCCGCAACCAAGGCACATGCCCTTGACCGGAATCAAACCTGGGACCTTTCAGTCTGCAGGCCGACACTCTATCCACTGAGCCAAACCGGCCAGGGCAACAATATGTAATTATATATGTGTTTTCTGATGGTCTTAGGTGACCTCTGTGAAAGGGTCATTCGACCCCCAAAGGGGTCGCGACCCACAGGTTGAGAACCGCTGTCCTAGAAGGAAAGTTTCTCTCCTGTTTCTGCTCACTTGGAGCTTTTCCTTAATTTTTTTTCACTCATTAATAAGAAATTTCATTCAGCTGTAATAAAAACTAATGGAATAAGTTGAGGTTTTCATTTGCTCTCATCCAACAATAAATCTCTCAGTTAAGTCATTGCTGGTGTTGGATTTGTGATTGAAGGGGGAGAGGGAGTGCAGAAAAGGGGCACCAGACCTCTGTGATTGTCCAGCCCTTTTCCTCATGGCCCCAAACTGGGCCAGCATTAGGACATGTGGCACCTTTGTGAAAAATATGAAAAAGGTGCCATTCTTAGCAGTTGAAGTAAACAGGACTCATCCCACCTCTGGGTGAACAATTTACTGAAGGACACGCCCACCAACAAAATCAGGGTCTTACAGCTGTCTCCACCATACTCGCCTGTGAGTCTGGACATCTCAAGTGAACCTCATCACATAGTACTAAAATATAAAGCCGAGGATCTGAGTTCTAACGTAAAAATGACCACCACCCAAACCTACACCGATTGCTAAATATTAGTTAGAGGTCCATCTAGTGGCAAAACCTAGGCAATGCATCCCATGGGCTCAGAGAGTTCACTCCCATTGCAACTATCCTGCAGAGGCTGGAACTGAGCTCTCCAGACACAGGTTCAGTCATGGCAGTGCCCCTAAGCTCTGCAGCCCCAGGCTACAAAAATGTTAGTTTTACTGTGGTATCCGCTTTCATGCTTTGGTCAGTTTGCTTTCAGAGCCAAGAAAATTCACTTGGACCCACATTCACTTCCCTCATCCACAGGAAAAAAATCAGGAGGAGAGTAGTTTTCATTGCATACAAGTAAAGATGGGGCTGAGTGGGGGAAGAGAGAGCATAAAGCAGATTAGCATTTGAATCAGTGTTCATATTTACAACTCACAGCAACCAAAGCCATAACAGTAAGGGAGATGAGCAACAGGCATAGCAACTACATTTATAAAGTATGAATCAAACCACTACATTTATGACTGCCAGATTATTGTCTGTCTACACAATTGGTAAACTCAGGGAAGTGCAGTTTTTTCTCTCCTAGATCTACATCAATCCTTAAAAAGGACTTTACAGAAGCCCTATGTCCACCCTCTGTGATTAGATTTTACCCTACTTCAGCGGTTCTCAACCTGTGGGTCGAAACCCCTTTGGCGGTTGAACGACCCTTTCATAGGGGTCGCCTATGACCATCCTGCATATCAGATATTTACATTACGATTCATAACAGTAGCAACATTACAGTTATGAAGTAGCAACGAAAATGATTTTATGGTTGGGTCACAACATGAGGAACTGTATTTATTTATTTATTTATTTTTAAATATATTTTATTGATTTTTTACAGAGAAGAAGGGAGAGGGATAGAGAGCTAGAAACATCGATCAGCTGCCTCCTGCACGCCCCCCAGTGGGGATGCGCCCGCAACCAAGGTACATGCCCTTGACCGGAATCGAACCCGGGACCCTTGAGTCTGCAGGCCAACGCTCTATCCACTGAGCCAAACCGGTTCGGCAAGGAGGAGGAGGAGGAACTGTATTTAAAGGGCCAGAAGGTTGAGAACCGCTGCCCTACTTTCAAGCTAATAAGTTAGCCTATTGCTGTTTTTCACATGCTGCCAGAAGACAAGGGGTGGGTCAGAAACAAGAGACTTCATCAGCGTCTCTGCACTGGTCCTTCTCACCCCAGTCTCATGGGAGCAGCCAGGTGGCATAACCCAGAGGGATGCCACACAGGCAATATGTGTGCATGACAGCCAATGAACCTCAGCTTGGGGAATCCACTGCTTTTATAGCAAGCCTGCTCTTTGTCCAGGGAAGACAGTATCTGTTACCAGTTGCAAAAACAATCTTGAGAAATGGCTGAGATAATAGAACAGTGGGATCTTGCATTCTTGGCACACACCACAGGACACATGAGAGCCCAAGAAGCCCAGGAGGACTCTCTCTTCCAAGCAACCACCTATGTTGTAACAGGATAGTAGAAGCTACGAAAATTCCTGGGCAAATGGAATAGGGAAACTGAGGCAAGAAAACTAAATAAGGCTAAACAGTTTGAGCAGCTTGCAACCAGCTTGCAGCAAGACCTTATTTTCCAACCAAAGACACGTGAGAGCAAATGATTAATACCTCTCCTCCGAAACCAGAGGATACACTCCTTAAATCAGCCTGGAACCGCCAAGGCAGGAGAGGGAAGAGAGGAAATTTTATCTCACTCACTGAACAAAGAAGTCAGCAGTCTTGGGACTTGCCAAATGTTCTCATAAATTCTAGGAAAAGCCATGACAAAATAAAAGGGAGGACCTTGAAATCTAGTCTGTGCCCAACATATCCAGCAGAGGAACCTTGAAACTTATAGGAAGGAGGGTAACAAACCTCTAGAACCCCACTGGGCAACACACTTGGGTTAGCTGAGTGCCCACCTGTGCTTTATGCCAGGTGGATTTTGATAGATTTACCTGCCTTACTTCTTTAATAAATTTGCTTGCTTTGCCTCCTTAGTAAATTAGCTTGCTTTACTACAATCCTGTTGTCACTCATTTGAATTATTTCTCAGGAACATGATAAGAACTGGGGAGGGGACCACCCTCTCCCTTCGATTCAGGGGGCTGTCCATAATATGTTTTCTGGTGTTTCTGGTGTCCCATAACAATGTGACTGGAAAGCCAGAGCCACATGATTAACCGCCCTACTAGAACCTTGTGGAATTGAAAAATGCAATTCCCCAAAGAGGAAGTGTAGGGATAAACAAAACATACAACAAAAGCACTCTTGACCAGCCCGAAATTAACTGGAGTTGGATATTACCCAACCAATGTACTCACATGTACGCACAGGCAAATCCTACCAGGAAATGGAGCACCCACCACTTTCTCTTTTCCTGCTCTGGCTGTCTCCAGGAAGACCCTCTGCCCAGTTCTTGGCTCCTGCTGAGCTGTGGAAATGTGTCTCCTGAGGCCACTGAGGAGCAGCTGCTTCCGATGCCCAACGCACTCGAGTCTGAGAATTTTAAACTCGAGTTTTAAAGCCACAGGTGCCTACCCAGAAAAGAGGGAACACCTGCCTTTTTCTTTGTTAGTCCAGTGGTTCTCAACCTTGGTTGCATATTAGAATCACCTGGGAATATTTTTAAAATCCCGATTTCTGGGCCTCATCCTCCGGAAATTCTGTTTCTTTGTTACTAATGTTGTGGCCCCACCCCATAACAAAGAAACAGAATTTCCAGAGGATGAGGTCCAGAAATCGGGATTTTAAAAAGATTACCAGGTGATTGTAATGTGCAGCCAAGGCTGAGAACCACTGTGTTAGTCCATTATACTTGACCCAAACACTATTCTTAGTATCGAGGTTACCACGGCTTTTAAGGAGCAGATTTTGCCAGTTTTCCTCCTCTTTCTCAGGCACTCTCTCCTCCCTAAATTGAATGCAGATGTGTATGTGGAGGGGGTGGGGGGAGCAGGGAGGGCAGGCCTAGAGGCCCAATCCAGACAGACCTCCATGAGGGCCCCACTACCCTGAGGAGTTTCTCTTCTGGGAGATTTCCTAGCCCCTTTATAAGGATCCAGGCTGGTACTATCGCTTGTAAGAACTGCCCACACCTGAAAGGAGTGGACTTTAATTAGTGTTGAATTCAATCACCTTACTCTATATACATTTTTAGTATATCATCCCTCTTATTCTGCCTTCCTTTGTCTTTCCTTCCTCTATCAGCTCGTATCCCTTTTCTCCTTTCCTACATCTAATAGACAAACCCAAAGAGGAACGGATAAGGGAGTTGTCAGAGTTGGGAATTGTCAGGACTCATGAAAACAAGCCATTTCAGTTCCCAATTGTCATCTCAAACTCTGAATTTAAAAAAAAAAAATTTCCTCCTGAGAAATTAAAACTTTCTGGCACAGATTCCCCTTTGCAGATGTACAGTGTCTTTGAGCGCTCTAGTGGTGGAGCCTCTAGGCCAGTGATGGCGAACCTTTTGAGCTCGGCGTGTCAGCATTTTGAAAAACCCTAACTTAACTCTGGTGCCGTGTCACATATAGAAATTTTTTGATATTTGCAACCATAGTAAAACAAAGACTTATATTTTTTATATTTATTTTATATATTTAAATGCCATTTAACAAAGAAAAATCAACCAAAAAAATGAGTTCGCGTGTCACCTCTGACACGCGTGTCATAGGTTCGCCATCACTGCTCTAGGCCATTGGTGTTACCTGTGATGAGGAACAAACACTCCACCTGGAAGCAAATAGCAGCGGGCTGAGGGTGGAGTGGACACTGCTGACTATACTGTATAGGACACGGACTTTAGGTGACCAGTTTTATCTGTACTCACTTCCCTATGTCTTTGTGACCAATGGATTAGGTTTCTAAGAAAGCTAGCAAAGATTAAGTACCCACAGAAGAAAGCAAGGCCAAGCTTGGCCTGATCAGCACAATGAGCTATTCTCCAAACTTCAGTCTAACTCTAAAGCAGGAATGGCAAACAAGTTTTCCATTTTATTAGCAACACACAGTGACCAATACTGAATGCCTAGAGCAGGGGTCAGCCTTCTTCCATTTCTGTGAAGGGTCAGATAATAAGTATTTCAGGCTTTTGGACCATATGGTTTCTGCCACTGGAATACAAAAGCAGCCATGGACAATATATAAACAAGGTTGTGTCCCAATAAAACTTTATAAAAACAGGTGGTGGGCTGGATAAGGCCCTCAGGGCGTAGATTCCACGCTCCCCCTCCAGGCTCAGGAGGAGTGCTGTAATCAATAAGCCTTGTCTGCACAGGTACTGTAAGTGGAACTATAGGTTCTAGATCAGTGGTCCACAAAGTGGGTTGTGCCTACTTCAGATTGTGTACATGATCCACTGAGACATGTGAAAAAAAATTTAGATTTTCTATGTATTTTTATCTTATCTGTTTTCATTTTAGACTATTGATCATATCTACCCCATCATGGATCCATGAAATTTGCAGTGAGTTAATTCTCCTGTAATGTGCCAATGAGAAATCAGGTTTACAAACCTCTGAAGAGGATGTCACAACAGACGTGCCCTGGAGTGGCAGTATCTGTCTGGTGCGTCTCCCTGCAGGTCTGGTGCCTTTTTAATTCCACAAAGGTACTGCGTAGGGTAGCAACAGCCACAGCTACATAACGCCTCTAGTAGGAAAGAATGGAAAAGAAAGAAAATACACAAAGTACATTAGATTCAAACTCTTCTGGGAGCAGAGATATCTTGTCAACACCCTATACAGTGTAGGGAGACTTTCCAGAGGGAACCAGAGTTTGAGTGCTGAATCCTTAGCACAAACCTCTAAGACAGTGGTTCTCAACCTTCCTAATGCCGCGACCCTTTAACACAGTTCCTCATGTTGTGGTGACCCCTAATTTCATTGTTACAAATTGAACATAATTAAAGCATAGTGATTAATCACAAAAACAATATGTAATTATATATGTGTTTTCCAATGGTCTTAGACAAACCTTGTGAAAGGGTCGTTCGACCCCCAAAGGGGTCGAAACCCACAGGTTGAGAACCACTGCTCTAAGAGTAAGGGCTGAAGCTGATGGTCTACCTTCTACTCATGGAGGTAAAGGGGCACAGGAACAGAAATTCTTTCTTTCCCCATCCCGGCTGCTCTCCCTTTCACACAGAGAAGAGGAGCTGGAAGAGGCCTTCAAAGCTGTCACATTAACCCACACAGAAGCAAGTGATGAAGTAAGACTCTCCTGAGACCAGAGCCAGTTGTTGTCTTGTGGCTTCCCAGTACCGATTCCCCTTTCTCCTGGTAACAGCTCCCCACTTTCCCTATGGGAAATAAGTTCTGCCCCATAGTGCAAAGTCTCTGGAATTGCCAAACAAAACACCCCGCTGTCTACTGGCTAAACAGATGGTCACACACTCAAGCTCAGCTAGTTGTGCTCTCCCTCTCCAGAGCTCTCTGTGATGGTCAAATTTATGTGTCAACTTGACTGGGACATGGGGTATCCAGATATTTGGTCAAACATTATTCTTTCTGTTGGATGAGATTAATATTTTAATCAATGGAGTAAAGCATGTTGTTCTACAAATGTGGGTGGATTTCCTCCTGAGCAGGACAGAATAGAACAAAAAGACCCTCCCTGAGTAGGAGAATTGTGCAGCTGCCTGCCTTTGGACTTCATCTGCAACATAGCCCTTCCTGCCTGGCAGCCCTTGAACTGGAACATATGCTCTCCCTGGCTCTCCAACTCCAACCTGCAGCCCACCCTGCAGATTGGGTTTGTCAGCTCCATATTCATGTGAGCCAATTCCTTAAAACAAATCAATCTCTCTGTCTCTCTAGATGGGCAAGTAGGTAGGTAGATAGACAGACAGATAGGTAGATATAAGATACATATCCTATTGGTTCTGTTTTTCTCTGGAAAGCTCTAATACACTCACCCCCTGGGTTTTGATGGGTTAGTATAGACACTTAAAAATATAAGAATAGTTGAGAGCATTCATTCCAGCAGTGATGTCCTGATGAGACTGTCAGGAATCTAGCTCCTGCTACCTAAACCCCTCCAGAGATGTTCTCAGTCTTCCTAATAATATCTTCTTTTGTTTGCCACCAAAGTGGCGAGTGACACTAACATCCTCCCTTCAGAGACAACTAGCTCTGCCCCTTCCCTGGGTCATCTTGGATAAGCCAGATGCCAGTCTTCCAGAAGGAGTGAGTGAAATGATCCTATGTAACTCTTGAGAGCTACTTCTTATGACTGCCCTAAGAAAAAACACCTGAGGTCCCACCAGTAGTCTTGTCTAATGTATTCACTTCAGGAGAATGAAGCAGGATCACCTGCACCAGAACAGCTTCTCACCTAGACAGCCTCCAAACCATCTTTTCTCCTCTCCTGCTTAAAACCTGAGAAGATATGTTACAATGAGCAGTACATTGCTTTCGCCTCATTATGACTTGTTTAAGTTTAATATTCCTCACCAGAAGCCTTTTTGAGGCCCTTCCCCCAAGGCCACAGGATTTATTCTGGGATTAGATAGGACACAAGATGCAAGAAGCTGATGGGTAGCCAGACAGGGTTTCTCATCAGGTAGCACCAGTTATTTAACACAACTGAAACTCTATCCTGCAGCAAGGAAGCATGCTATTTGCTCACTGTGGGGGTTTCAATGACTACCCATCGTTTACTTTAGCACTCCTGGCAAACTCTGGAGCCAGCTTGCATAATGCAGTGTCTAAAGAACATGATTCCAGTTGAAGAGAGCATATTTGCAGTTAAAAATAGAACTCAGTCACATACATAACCAATTCATACATAAATCGTGAGGCTGGGGGAGGGTCAACATTAAATAATAGTCACTGGGGGTTCCTGAACACCTGTCCCAGTCATTCAGAGCCTCTGTTCTCTGGAAATTGCCAGCACACTGATGCCAGCCCTGCCTTGAAATCAAATGGTAAAAATAAACAACCTAACTGACCCAGTTAATCCAAGAAACATGAGTGTACCTTTAAGCAGACAGCAATTCAGGTGGCTTCTCCAGGCCAGGCCTCCTTGGGGATTTAGCTCTGTGTTCTAAAAGAATTAACTGTTGTAGATCCAGTGGCAGACCTACTGGGTTTATAGCTGGATTGAAAGCTGAGACTGAATTAGGTCTCAATTCCATCCCCACTGATGCGTTTTCACTGTACATACATGTGTTATGCTCTGTACAGAATGCACCAAGGTCCCTTGCTTCTTCTAAACAGATGTGCGAGTCTCATGACCCACTGCTTGGGCTTGCAAAGGGCTAAGAATTACAAAAGAAAGTCCCTTAGTATGTGGTTTCCATACCAGAAAACACATAAAAACAGTAGTATAGATCTAATTGGAAAGGTTGTCCCAGATAAGAAATAGAAATTTCATGCCTGGGTACATATAGAGCTAAGCTGTCGGAACTATTGATTCTATGACATGCTACCAGAAGAAGGGATGTGGAAGAAAATAAAGGAGCTGCCTCCTATCTTAACCCTGCCCCCACCAACCTATCCAACCAGGCAAATTGCTTCTCCTCTCTGTGCTTCTCTTCCCCTCTTAAAAATAGGTCTGCAACGTGTTTCCCTTCCAAGCTCACCACAATGGTAGAAGGTTTAATTTAGACACTTGTGTTAGTCTTTTGTTTCTGATTCTGAAATTCTAGAACAATAATACCTTCTGTGCTTCACAATCACCTGCGAAGCTTATAAAATTATAGTACCCAGGCCAAACCCCGAGATTCTTGAGTGGTGGGTCCCAGGCAGAGATAGATTAAAAAGTGCCCAGGTGATTCTAATGTGCAACCAGGAATGAGAACCATAAGCCATGATAGGAAAGGCTTCCCCAGGAAAGTGTAGCAGATCAAGGTGTGAATTCTCCCACCACCTCATCCAAATCTTGAAAGGCTTTCCTTTCATGGGGTTGAATAAATTGTTTTGTTCCCAGACCTTCTCTCACCAACTTCCCCCACCCCTCTGCCAGCATCAATCAGCATAGGAATGAGCTAATTTTGGAAAGGTGGCTGGGGACTTTTTATTGTTTTTTAACTGAAGCAAAACCCTAAGTAGCTCTTAACTGTATTATGGCCTTTATCTCAAAGTTTATCTTTTAGAATTTACACAGTATTGGAGCATTTGTAACCAACCAGAGGTTCTTACAATCCTCAGTCTGTGCTGCCTTCACACCAGCTGGTACATGTCACCCTCTGCTGTGCCATAGGTCATTATTAGCCAGGGATGCCTTCGTGTTAAGCACCCCATCCTATATAATAAAAGGCTAATATGCAAACTGACCAAACAGCAGAACGACCGGTTGCTATGATGTGCACTGACCACCAGGGGGCAGATGCTCAATGCTCAATGCAGGAGCTTCCCTCTGGTGGTCAGTGAGCTCCCACAGGGGGAGCGCCACTCAGCCAGAAGCCCTGAGCTGGGCTCACAGGGAGTGGGCCTAAGCCATCAGTCAGATATCCCCCAAAGGCTCCTGGACTGCAAGAGGGCACAGGCCGGGCTGAGGGACCCCCCCACCCAAGTGCACGAAATTCGTGCACTCTAGTCCTCCTATAAAATGTGAATGATTCAGTGTAGAGGATCTGTAGTAAGTCCCTTGGTGAGGGACTTAATGCCTCAGTGTGGGCTGATCAGTCCCATGTTTTACTCTACTCCCTGCTCCCCACTAAGCTCCATGCCCCTCCTAAGATGTCTTGTTGCTTTGCTCCGTGGGTTAGTTGTGTTTCTCACTGGAATAAGTTCTAAAGGACCTACTGTTCATCCTGTAACCTCCCACAGCCTATACTTTGGTTTTTGCCCTTGAAAGCACCCTGTGTGCTTCTGCTGTTTTGAATCAGACATTTGGAAGGAGCTAGAAACCTTGAAGAGAAACCAAAGGACACAGCAAGATCATGGAGTGGACTGATTAAGAGCTAGGGAACGAAACAGGCCTGGATTTGAATCCTGTCTCCATCACTTACTAGCTATGCACGCTGGTATTACATACCTAACCTTTCTGAGCCTCGGTTTACTCATCTGCAAAATCAGTTTAGCTATAAAGTCTATATCATGGGATTGGCATGATGATTAAATGAGATGTGCCTGGCATCATGGGACTAGCCCAAATGTCAGCCACTATTACCTCCATTATTATTAATAAAATCAGAGTGAGGGGAGCATGGTGTACAACTAGCATCTCCTCAGAATAAATGGGAATTGTGGAAGTTGGGACAAGAAAGCCTAAGTTTAGAGCCATTCTCATTATCTATGATTTTAAAATTGTGATAATAATAATGCCTACTTCACAGGGTGATTAGAAGGAGTAAATGTAATAATACATATAAATGTGCTTTGCAAACTACAAAAAACATGTAATATTAGGAATCATTATTCATATGCAATTTTCAACATTTTCTGATACTGGTCCTGACAACTGATAAAAGGAATAAATAGATTCTCTAAGCTTAGAAATAGAAATTCAATTCTCATGCCTTTAATCCAGCAGCTTAATAAAGTTCAGGCCAAAGGGTGAGCCCACAGAGAGTGAGATTCTGATTAAAAGGGAGCACCCATGCTGGGCTAACTGTGTTACTGAATGACCCCTTCCTTTGATTCAGCAACTGCCTACTGTTTACTTACCATATTAGGTCACATGGTCTCAGGAGATATCTTAACATT